CTCATAGGCCCTGGGAAAGTCTCCTCCTCCAGGGCCTCCCAGGCACCTTGCTGACCCACCGTCAGCACCTCCCTGCCCAGCCCAGAGCTTTCCCTGCCAAACTGGCCCTCTCCCTCCCAACCCATCCCCAAAACTCCTGGCCTGAGTCCTAGTCCTCCATCATCCCGCTCTTCCCACTCCATCCTCATACTTTTTCACTTCCTTCACATCCTTCTGGCCCATCACAGTCTCCCCCCGGAATCATCGCCCATCTGCCTCTTCCAGTCCATTCCAACCCCCACCCCAGCTCAGACGTCCTCCCTGCCCTACTCAGCTGCTCTGCCTTAGGCTGACTTGCCCAACAGCCTGTCCTTGGTCCAAGCCTTTCCTATGCTCTCCTAGACACCTCACCCTTAGACTGGAAACCTCCCTGGCTCATCTTCCCCTTTGTATCAAACTAGCCAAGAATTCACAGAGAAGGTTCTGCCCAGGACTATTCCCATGAATCCCACACTTCACCCTGGATCCAAGTCCTCCTAGCCTGTCCCAGATCCCACCTCCCTGGCCCAGGACTCCACTCAATCCACCTGAGTCCTCCCAGCCTTGAGAACCTGTTAGAGTCCAGGCCCATGGTGGCGGGTGGGGAGGTCACAGGCACAGCCCCAGGATCAGAGGGGCAGGGCTGGGGCCGGGCCTGGGGTAACATTGTGTTTCTCTCCCCTTCCTCCCCTTCCTCTTCCCCCCTTCCTCCCACGCCTCCACCTTGTCTCTCTCTAGCAAATCCCAGTCTCTGACCAATGCCTTCAACCTTCCAGAGCCAGCCCCGCCCAGGCCCAGCCTTAGCCAGGACGAGGTGAAAGCTGAGACCATCCGCAGCCTGAGGAAGTCTTTCGCCAGCCTCTTCTCCGACTGATACCCCACTGAGAACCCCAAAATCCCTGGGCAACCCTTCTCTGGGCCCTGAATCCATTTCTCACTTTTGGAGTCTCCAAATCCCTTGAGAACCCATCTCCCGGTTCTCCAAGATTCCACCTCTCATTCCTCAAGATCCCCCAGTACCTTGAGAAACCTGACTCCTGGCCCTAAATCCAGTTCTCACATGTGGAATCCCCAAGTCCTTTTAGAAACCCCACTCCTGGTCACTTCAAGATCCACTTCTGTTTTAGGACCTCCAGATTCCTGAAGACCTCCGCCCCTGGTTTCCCCAGAGGGCATACTCCTTCCTGGAAGTGCCCAAATACCAGACAACCCATTGCAGAATCCCTTCCTGGAGCCCTGAAGTTCCTGGAAAACCCCATTTTTGGTCCCAGATCTCTCCAGCACACCTATTTCCTATCACAATTTTCCAAATCCTCAAGAAACCCCTACTGTTGAGCCCCTTCCCAAGGTTCTTCCGTCTCTCTGAAGATCCACATCCTCAAACGCCACCCAACACCTAGCCCCACGAGGATTTCCCCTTACCAGCTCCCCTCAACCCCATTCAATACCTTGGGAGCTCCTCCCACTTCCAGGACCTCTCGGTTCCCCCAGGGACCCCCTCCCCAGTTTCCTGCCTCTGACAGCTGTCTTTAAATATGCAAACTCCACCCATCTTCCCAGAATCCTTTGCACATGGAAGGCCAGTGGTCTCCCGCTTCCCCACTTTTGCCGTGATGTCTGTGTCTGTGACTGACGTGGCCTCCTCTTGTGCCGTGCTTGGCATATGTGGTCCTCGTTCATCGTGCCGCCTGTGGTGATGCGTGCAGTGACGCTGTTTATGTGGTCCGCACCTCCGCCTGACCTCCACTCCTTGCCTGGACTCACCCCACCCCTCAGCGGCTCTGAACCCCAAGAGAAGAGTCGGGAAACAAAATAAACAAGCAAAGGCCCAGCAGAATTCTGTGCTTCTTGGTGAAGAGGGGAGTCCTTGAATAGCAGGGGAGACACAAAGGGGACCCCCCAAAATCCACATGGGGTACTGGGAACCCCAAAATCCAGTGGAAGGCACATCAGGCATAAATTCCAGAGAGGTTCTGAATGGAATCCCTGCCACAAATCCCAGCCTTTGGAGATGGAAGAGCTCCCAAAATTTACAAGTATCCTCAAAGCCAAGAGGAAACCAAATGATGGAGGAGGCAGGGGGCTCAGATTTTGGGGGGTCCCCTAATTCCAGAAGAACTGGAAAGGCACATGGGGACTCCCTCATCTCCCAGGGTAGGGGATGGGGGATCCTGAGGCAGCATGAGGGCAGAGACGAACATTAAGTGGCTGGTGGGCAAGGCTCCTTGGTGTGGTGGGCTGAGACTGGCTCCCCGGTGGCTTGGGCAGAGCCTAAGGCACAAGGCGGGCTGCGCTGAGTAGGCAGGCAGGCAACTCATCAGCCTGGGTGCGGTGCAAGGAGGGTTCCGAGGCACTCCGCTCAATCTTGGGGAGTGACCGTTGCAGCAGCTCAATTGTGGCCAAAATCTGAGGGCAGGTCGGGGTGAGCAGGGGTGTCCAGGGCCCTATAGGCATCCCAACAGCCCCAGACCCCAGTCTCATGGGAGAAAACACACACACACACACACACACACACACACTCTCACACACACACACACACACACACACACACACACACACACACACTCTCTCTCTCTCTCTCTCTCTCTCTCTCTCTCTCTGTACCTGTGAGCTTTCAACACAGTTCACATTCACATCTGCCTCCATCTCAGTCTTCCTCCATCCCAGGGTCCCCCACCCAAGGTGTCTAGCCCTCCTACCCAGCCCACCTGGGGGAAGAGGGGCCGCTCCTCCCTCTGGAACTTGAGGCAGTCAGACAGCAGGCGCCGCATGGCCTTGGGGCAGTTGCTGGAGATTTTGCTGAGGTCCGGGGACAGATAGCCACGGCCCACCATAAAGATAATCTGTGGGGAGAAGAGAGCAGGAAAAGGGTGATCCGGGGTCAGGGGCTGGAAGGCCCAAAGAAGTCTGTATTGAGGGACTTGGGAGGTTCATTTTTGGCAAACTGGGGTACTGTCAGTATTGGGGTCCAGAGGATTCTCTGTCCCTGAGGACTTGGGAGGACTCTTTGCTTGTAGAACAGAGGAATTTAAACTTGAAGTTGTCAAGGATTGTAGGTATCTGGAGCCCAGAGGATTATGGGTCCACAGGTTTCTAGGGGCCTTAGGGACCTGAAAAGTACTGAGTCTCAGGGAAACATGGAGTTCTGGGTCTGAGGAGTTTGTACTTCTGTGGGGGTCTGGGGCCTAGAGGATTTCAGGTATCCCGGCCCTGGGGCCTGCTAGATACTCAAGGCCTAGGTGACTGTGGGTACCTGTGACTATGCCAGAAGCACAAAGGGGTTCTGTGTCTGGGGAGAAATGGGATCTTGGGAGAAATGAGACCTGGGCTTTGAGGACCTGGGGCATTTTGAGTACCCAGAGCAGAGGACTATAGGCATCAAGGGGTATAGAGGGCTTTGGGGTATTTGGGGACCTCGGGGGATTCTAGGTATAGAGATCTGGGGCATTCTGGACTTCAAGGATTTTTGTCCCAGAGGACTGTGGATGTGAGAAGAGGGAAGTTGGAGTAGGGGAGACCCAGAGAATTGATTATAGGTGTCTGGAGCCCAAGGAATTCTGGGAGTCCTTATCCAATAAAATTTTAGGTTTCTGGGGAAAGTGTGGCATTCACCTGTGCAAAGGAGGGGATGTGGGGTATGGATGCCTGAGGGGATCCCTCAGCTCAGGGAACTGTGGGTAAGGTGTGGGGCTCACCTGGTCACGGCAGCCAATGTGGCTGTAAGGCAGTGAGCCAGTCATGAGCTCGTAGAGCACAACCCCGTAGGCATAGACATCTGACTGGAAGCTGTAGGGGTTCGGGTCCTGCATACGGATCACCTCAGCTGCCTACGACACCAGACCAGGTCAGCAAATGGCTAGCCCGCAGTCCCAGATCCTACTGGCCACACGGTACAATCCAGAGCCACCCACACGAGGTAGGACATGAGGAGTCCAGACACCCACACCTGGCACAGGCATCCCCATCCCTACTCAGCCCTACACACCCCAATCCAGGAGCCCACGTCCCCATCAAGCCTGGCCCAACTCACCATCCACAGCACAGAGCCTGAGGGCTGCTCCAAGGGCTGGGCCCCGCTCCATCGAGTCTTCACCGTGGCCAAGCCAAAGTCACCAATCTTCACTGTGAGCCCCTCGTGTAGGAAGATGTCCGCCAGAGTCAAGGACCACTACAGGGCCTCCTAATAGCCATGCCTCTCACCCTGTGAGGTTCCCACTGGTGCCCCCATACCACTCATCCCTCTGATCCTGACCAGGAGCCCCCTAATATCACACAAACTACCCACAACCTTGACGTGGGCAGGGAACGCCTACTAATGCTCCCCATACTCAGTGCTGCTATAACTCCTGACCAGGAAGCCCTTGACGTGGGCAGGGAACGCCTACTAATGCTCCCCATACTCAGTGCTGCTATAACTCCTGACCAGGAAGCCCTTTGGAGGGCACCCGAACCCACCATGCCTCTGATGCTGACCATAACGCCCTCCACAACTGTCATACATCAGACCTTCACCAGAGTCCCCAAGAATAGCACCTGAACCAGCCACACCTCTGACTTCTGACCAAGAGACTGCCATTAAAGCCCCCTTGTCAGCCACAGCTCTGCTACCTGGCAAGGAGCTATGGGACACATACACATGGCCCTCCCTTGTAATTCCCAGAACCCCCACAATAGGAACCCTCTAAGCCCTTGGCACTCCCATCCCAACCCCAGCCCAGGGACAGATAGATACTGTTAGACTTGAGATCTCGGTGGATGATGTTCTTGGCATGGAGGTAGCTGTGGGGGTGGAGGCAGGTGGCGGATTGGCTGGGGGCTACCTCATCTCCCCCACCCTTTCCCCCCACCCCTCCCCAGGCTGGGAGGCTCACTCCATGCCCTGGGCAGTTTGCCGGGCCACATCGATGAGCTGGACCATGTCGAAGCGTGTGTCGGCCACATGCAGATGGTGGTAGAGGCTGGAGCCCTCACACCACTGTGTGATGATGGCAAATCCCGGCCGGGTCATGAAGCCCATAAACAGCAAGATGTTGACATGTCGCGTCTTCCTGCAGGCAGGGAGGGCAGTGTCAGAGGTGGGGAGGAAACATAGCGACTGTCACTTACTGAGCATCAGGAGTGGCACTGCTGTTCTTCACCTTCTTCGGTCATTCATTTTCACCCTGCCTTTTGGGGCACTCAGGACCAGAGCATTGCCAGATTCTATGAACTTTTGAGATGTATTTACTGGGCTATGATTCTCTGCTGTGGGCTTATATGCGGAGCCTCCCCATCTGAGCCTCCCAGCAAAAGCAGGAGAGAGGAATTGCTGCCCCCTCCTGCCTATAGTAGCATTTCTAATCAAGAACATCCCCCACCCCTCTGACTCTGACCATTACCTGGGTCTGTGATCCTCTCACAGATGAGAAGGTGGAATGCCAACCTTCTTCACTGATGTATCAACATAATATGGATAAATGTAGGGTAAAAACATTGGTGATGTTTGATTAGAGCCTGTTCGGCAGCATGAGAAGCTTAGAGGTAAAGAGCTTGGAGTCTGGACTCACGTTCAAATCTAGGCTTCACCAGTTACTCACTGTGCAACCTTGGGGAGGTCATTTAACCTCTCTGGGTCTCAGGCTCCTCAACTGTAAAACTGATCATTATATTAGCTACCTTATTCTCTGTAACATAGTTGTACCCATTTGACAGAGAGGAAAAGACCACGCTGACATCCCCAGAACTGGTAGAAGCTACCCAGTACTACCTGTAGTATATAGGTATACAGGCCCCCAGCCATAAACATGCATTTAGCTCACACAGAGCGAATGTCCACTGGCAGTTCTGTTATGGTTACTATGTACTACATGAGGCTATGTACATAGTTACTATATA